AAGTGAGAAACTGGTTGATCTCGAAAATCGTTCACGAAGAAACAACCTGAGGATTGAAGGTGTAAATGAAATACCTGGTGAAACCTGGAATGACTGTGAAAAAATTGTGAAAGACATTTTTTCAAAAAAGTTAAAAATCCCGAACGAAATAATAATTGAACGAGCTCATCGTTCAGGTCCAAAAAAAGTAGGCAAACACCAAACAATCTTCATAAAACTTCTTAAAACACCGAACAATCTTCATAAAAATTACAACGATAAAAAAAGAATTCTTTTTAACAGTAAAAATTTACGTGGAACTGGTATTTTTATCAACGAAGATTTTGCTAAAGAAACAATCGAAACGCGAAAAAGACTCTGGTGAAGTGAAGTATTAAACTTACGTAAAGAAGGTAAGTATGCTATTTTAAAGTTCAATAAGATCTATTGCAGAGAACTCAACAAATAAGTTTTTATCAAAAGAAACCCTTTTATAGATACACTTGTTAAAAATGAGCGGCATTAATAATTTTGAAAACCAAATCTTTAATTTTTCTAAAATAGATTGCATCTCAAATGAATTCTCAGATCCCGACACTAACTATTATTGTGATTTGCTCAGTGATTGTTCATATTATTATCCAAGTGAATTAGCAGAGTTTCTTTTGAAGGATAATGTAAAAGCAAGCGATAAAATCAAAATTCTTCACGTAAATATTAGAAGCTTAAATCGCAATTTTGAAAATCTACTTAATTTATTAGAAGAAACTAAAAATATTTTTGATATACTTTGCTTAACAGAACTATGGATAACTATAAATGACCTAAAAATTAGTTCAAATTTTAACCTTCCTCATTTTAAATTAATATCTCAAGATAGGCAAACAAATAAACGCGGCGGTGGAATTTTTATTTACGTGAAAAAGAATATAATGCATTACGTTAGGAATGATTTGAGTGTTTCTGACGAGAATAAAGAAATTTTAACGATTGAAATTGTAAACAATCAAACAAAAAACATTCTATTAAGCTGCTGTTATCGACCACCTGATGGTCTGGGCAAAAATTTGAGCATTTTTTTTGAACAAAACGCATTCAAAAAAAGCACAAAAGAAAAAAAAAAAGTTTTTGTTATTCAAGACTTCAATATGAATACTTTTTCTTATTATGAGGATTCTAAAGTTAAAAAGTTTTATGACGCAATATTTGAATTAGGAGCAGTTTCTTTAATTAATCGACCGACAAGAGTATCAATAAACACAACTACTCTTATCGATAATATTATTACAACCGATATCCTTAATAAAAACATACAAAAAAGTATCTTAAAAACTGATATTTCCGATCACTTCCCTATATTTTTAACATTTAACTGTAATTCCGAAACTATGATTTAGACAAGCAAAAAAATTAGACTGCGTCATATTAACAAGGACAATATTAATCATTTTAAAGAGCAACTATCATTGCTCCATTGGAAACATATTAACTTTAACGATGACGCAAACTCTAGATATGATAATTTTTTCAACACATTATATCCTATCTACGATGCAAATTTTCCATTCATAGAAAAGACAATAAATCCAAAAAAAACATTCAATCCCTGGATTACCAAAGATTTTAAAAAATCATCGAAGATCAAGCAGAAACTGTATATAAAGTTTTTAAAAACAAAGTCCCCCAGAAAATGAAAAAATATACAAAGATTATAAATATCAGTTTGAAAAAACTCGAAAAAATTTGAAAAAAAATTACTACTCTAGCTTAATCGATAAGTATAAAAATAACTCCAAACGTACATGGGAAATAATAAAAGAAATAAGCGGAAAACAAAAAGACTGCTCAGGTTTCCTTCCCCAGGTCATCAAGGTTGATAACAGAATCATCTATGAACAAAAAAAATAGCTTGCGAGTTTAATAATTTTTTTGTTAAAATTGGTCCTGAACTGGCCAATAAGATTCCAAAGACGCAGGCTATATTTAGTGATTTTCTAGTACCGATGAATGATTGCTATACATCTGGAGAGTTGTCTTCTAAATTATCATTTGAAGAATATGAAATAGCATTTAAAACTCTGAAAAAAAATAAAGCTACTGGAGCAGATGACATTAATAGTAATATAATTCTAAACTGTTTTGAACAATTAAAAGATATTCTCTTTAAAGTTTTTAGCGCGTCAATTAATCAAGGAATTTTTCCTGAACAACTAAAAATTGCAAAAATTACCCCAATTTTTAAAGAAGGTGATAGGGCTATTATTAGCAACTACCGACCCATTTCTATCTTACCAATATTTTCAAAAATATTAGAAAGAATTATGTATAATAGAGTCTATGATTATTTTCAATGCAATAACCTACTATATAGCAATCAATTTGGCTTTAAAAAGCACAACTCCACGGAACATGCAATCATTCAATTTGTACGTGAAATTTCAAAATCCTTTAAAAATTCCCAATACACACTAGGTATCTTTATTGACCTATCTAAGGCTTTTGATAGGTCGATAAATTTTATTTTCTACAATTTTTATGCAAGAAATGTTCAAAAAAAAAAAAAAAAAAATATATATATATATATATATATATATATATATATATATATATATATATATATATATATATATATATATATTTGTGTGTGTTTGTGTGCGTTGTATGTGTGTAGAAGGAAAAATTTCAGGTAACAAATGAAAAAAACTATTCAAACTTAAATTTGTTTAAGTTTAACTAACAAATATATTTTACTCATCTAAGTTTGAATAATTTTTTTAATTTGTTATCCGGCATTTTTCTTTTACACATACACACACACATATATATACACACACACAATATATACATACTATATATATATATATATATATATATATATATATATATATATATATATATATATATATATATATATATATATATATATATATATATATATATATATATATATATATATATATATATATATATATATATATATATATATATATATATATATATATATATATATATATATATATATATATATATATATATATATATATATATATATATATATATATAATATATATATATTTTATATAATTCATTACTTATAAGACAAAATGTTTTTAATCTTCCAATAACTTGTTCCACAAGAATTCTAATTTTAGCAATTGAACTTGTTTTCTTAACTTCAAAAGGTGTCATTTGTGATGTTCCTCACTGACCAGGTGGTTTTGATTTTAGTTTTAAAAGTAGAGTTCTTTAAACTGTTTTTTTTTTAACATTTTTGCATTTATTTTATTAACTGCTGTAATTACATATGCATTTTTACAAGTAGAGGCGGATATAGTGGCTGTTTTTATTGAAAATGAATCAGAAATTATGTTGTTATTTCGTTTATTTATTGGTCGATTACAATTAGATGAAACAGAAGGAACAAATTATTATTTTATTTAATGCGTTGTACCCCAATAGTTCTGTAGGATATTTAAATTTTTCATGAATAAAATGTTCCGAACAAATTCTACTGTAATTAGAAGCTTCCTATTGAGATTTGTCTGAACTTACCCGATTTAGCAATTTTTTTCAAATGGATCGACGCTCTGGGTTTTCTTCTTCAGTAGGAAAAGGAATAAGTTTAAATGGTTCAGAACAGCAGCAAATAGGATCTTCTTTTGAACATTTATGAATTTCACAAATAGCTTTTTTCCACTTTTTAAATTTGGTTGAGTGATTGGAACAACCAATGAAAGAAAAGTGATGTAGCCATATTAAGCAAATAATTAAACTAATATAAACAAATCCAATGTTACTTCTTATGCTGTTTGTTTATTTTATTTATTCTATATCTACTTTTTTTGTAAAATACGCACGAAAAATTCAAGTTTCTTATTATTCCGGAATTTAAAAAATTTCGAATATCGTCTATAGACCAATTTCAAATGTTTACAAAATCATCAATTCCGTGGGCATGCGCGCAAAGCTGGCAGGCAAAAAACAAAAACATTCTTCGATAAACATTAAGAGGTAGACGTATTATTATTATTTTACAATTTTAGATACATTTGTGACTATTTTGTGTCTATAAAAAACTATTCTAACGCATTATTGGCATGTCTACGATACAAGAGGTTGAAAATCTATCATAAAAATGGTTATTTATTCAGCTAATATGTATCAGTTTATATTGATATCAGCTAGTAGAATAAATAATAAAAAAGTACAAAAATGCTTCACACATAAAGAAAAGTAGAGAAGATAATCAAAGGTATTTTGCTACTTTTTTTTTTTTTTATATATTGTTTCAATATATTTGCAAATATATTGTATATATATGCAAATATATTGTATATATATGCAAATATATTGTATATATATATGCACATATATTGTTAGGTACGTGACATGAAAATTTTAAATTAATTAAATAGTAGATTGTTATATATCATTAGAAAGGCCTTTAATTCAATTTTGCAAAAGTGAAAAAATTATAAAAATCGGACAATTCCATAAAAAGTTATACTTGATTAAGTGACGAATTACCGATATATGGATTTCTTGATAAAACTGAAGCAAAAATTTTTTTTTTTTTACTAAAACTATCATAACTTAGTCAATTCTCATCAAAATCCTTATATCTTGGCATCAAAAAATAACCTACAAATCTTGGTATCAAAACCTACAATATCTTGGTATCAAAAAATAACCTACAAAATTATAACAACCTTGAGCAATTTGGCATACCGTGGGCGGCGGCGGGCGCATAGATACGCCGTCTTTGCGGTCAATAAAAAGAGATTTTTCTTAATAAAAAAGTGTTTCTTCAGGAAACCGGTCTATTCCATATGCAAAAAGTTGTTACAATTTCACTGCCAAATATTAGAGGTTTATTAAAAATATGAGGTTGACCTTGGGTGTTAAAATTCAACACACCCTAATTTAAAAAAACAATCATTCTCATAATCATTTTTATCTTTATTTCAAAATATACATCTAATAGATCAAGTTTATAAAATGAATAATTTTTTTTTTACATCTTTAAAACTATAAGTAGTGATGTACACAAAGACACGAGAAAAGGGCGTATCCCGCCCCCTCTGACCTAAAAAAAAAAATTTTAAATGAGGTTTCCAAAAATAAAAATTGCTATTATTTTTAATGTTTTATTTTAATATAAAATTATTTTTACCATATTACAGTAGTAGTATTAAAAGATGCATCAGAGTACTCATTTTTGCAGAGAGGGTGGGAGTTACCCCCTCTAACCTAAAAATATTTAAAAAAAATAAAATGACATTTTCTAAAACAAAAACTGCTATTATTTTACATATTTTATTTTAATATAACATTATTTTTACCATAACACAGTAGTACTAAAACAAGATGCATCAAAGTATTTATTTTCGAAGAAGGGAGTAGCGGTTACCCCCTCTGACCTATACAAATTAAAAATAATTTAAAATTACTTTTTCTAAAATAAAAACTGATATTATTTTATATGTTTTATTTTATTATAAAATTATTTTTACCTTATTTGAGTAGTAGTATTACAAGATGCATCAGTCTTCATATTTGCTGAGGAAAATGTCAAATCCCCCCTCCGACCTAAATAATTTTTTATACATTTATATATAATTCCAAACAACAATTATATGTTTTGGCTTTTAGTTAATGATTAAGATAAGTTTCCAGTATTGAAACTGTATAATAATCATTGTTAACAATGGACACGACGTGAACGTAAGCCAAAAACTGTCTATCAAAAAAATTGCAAGTTCCACTACTTGCTGCACATTAATTTTGCAAGTTTCACTGCCTGCAAAATTCTGTACATTTATGTTGGAAGTTCCACTAGTTGCTGTACATATATTTTGCAAGTTCCACTACTTGCTGTACATTTATGTTGCAAGTTCCACTACTTGCTGTACATATATTTTGCAAGTTCCACTACTTCCTGTAAATCACAAGTTCCACTATTAGCAGTACATTTACAATGAAAATTCCACTACTTGTTTAACCTTTATTTTGCAATTTCTAATTCTTGCTGTATATTAATTTTGCAAGTTCCACAATAAGATAGGATAAGAAATTACAAAAATACTAACTCGCCTGATACAACATCAGAAACCAGCTGGAATTTTTTCATGCTATGGTCAACAGCTTCTGTATAAGTTTCATTTGGAGCCCAGTAAGAAATTGTGTAAAAGATGCCTTTTGTTGTCTTTTTAAGTTTTCAACTCTGCCATTATACAAGACCGTCATTGTTGAATCTGTATCATACCATTCGTGGCAGAGATTCCTCCCAACATTTCTTTCACACATAACATCATTTAAATCATCAATTTGCTTAGTAGACAAGTTTTTAAATAAATTTTGAATTTCACGAACAGATAGTGGAGATAATTGTCGCTCTAACCTTCTTTTTTCTTTTTCATCTAATTTTTGGTGTTTCGCTGTCTGCCTTTTAGAAATTTCAGCTCAAATTTCAGCATGCTGAAGTCGAGTTTTCTTTCGTTTTAAACGCGCTTCTTGAATAGCCCATTTAACTACTTTTTCTCTATAAAAGTTATCAAGATTTTCCAAAAAATCAGAAAATCAGAAATTGCATAAATTGACTGTGGTGTTTTATAAAAACAAAACAAGTGTGGAACAGAATATGTAGACGGTTTCCACGGTACCTTCGAATAATACCTCTTGGTAATTTGTTATTGTTTAAAAATTTGACAAATCATTTTGGATCGCCGCTTGCATCTTTAAACCTCATCTTATTCATAGCCAAAACAATTTTAACAGCAACACAATCATTTTCAAATAATTGGCAATTTCCAATTTCCAAAGACTTTAATGCTGTTCGACATGAAATAGCAATTGTGTCAAGAAGGTGTAAGTGGCAGTTTAACTCATTTAGACTTTTACCCCAGACCTTACCAATTTTTCGGATTGTAAGATGGTTAACCGAAACTCTATCAGACATGGTGTTTGATATATTTGAGATTATTAGGCGTCTACAATCATCAAAGGGTTGAAGTGAAAGTTTGAATAAACTAAGGCAGTATAATCCACTACATTACATATATGATTTGCATAATCCACTGCTTTCCCGCCTGGTAATTGATCAATAGCAACAACCTGGCATTGATTTTTTGAAGTTAAATGAATGCTGTTTTATATGAACACCTTCTTGCGTTGTTGCATCAAATCCAAGAGTGAGATGATTATTATTGATGGCCCATTCTGCTACTTGCAAATCAGTGATACTGCCAAGCTCACAAGCCATTTGCTCAACGGTACTACGATGAGGAATGTAAGAAAAATTAATTCCAAAATATTGTGCAATTTTATCCACTAGAAATGGAATATTACTGGTTGGGACATTTGACAATAACATGGTGTAGACTACTATCCTTAATTGCATGGAAAATTGTTTATCATTGTTGGACCAGTTTGATGTACTTTAATTGTAATTTAAAAATGTAATTTAAGCAAAGTGTCATTTAATTGAAAAAAAACTACCTTAACTATAAACAGACACAAATATTTTAATCTGCTTTTAGCTTAAAAACTTTTTACATTATAAAATATATATAATATTATATATAACATATATAATATTATATATATTTTATAATGTATTATATATATATTTTATAAATATATATTATATATATATATATAATATATATATATATATATATATATATATATATATATATATATATATATATATATATATATATATATATATATATATATACATATATATTATATATATATATAATATATATTAACATAAATACTATATAAATTTATGCAAATATATGTTTATATATATATATATATATATATATATATATATATATATATATATATATATATATATATATATAATATATATATATATATATATATATATATGTGGTAATGTTGCAGAATAGACACGTTAAATAAAATTATCTTTTAGCTTTTTGCGCTCTCGTTCGTAGATACTTAAAAAATTCTATTGAATGTTCTTTAAAATAGAACATTCATAAATATCATAGTAGTAGTAAATTTCAAAGTAGTTAATAAAATAGTTTTTTGTTTGAAATTTTTTTTTAATTTTTCATTTATTAATAATTTTTTATTAATATGTATTTAACTATTTTATTAGTAATAATTTATTAAATACAATTAGTTGAAATAAATAATTGTAATAATAAAAAATATAGTTTTGTTAAAGCTATTGTTCATGCTAATGTGTTTTTTAAAAATATGTGGCTATGAAAATAGCCGTTAGAGTGAGTTTTCACTCATCCGTTTTTTCGCGGGAATGGGAAAGGGACAGTAAAAATAATCACGTGGCATGCGTAGTATAAGTTTTAATATATTCGAAGGAAAACTACGCATGCTCATGTGATTATTTTTCCTTTTTCTATCCCGTTCCCGTGAAAAAACGGATGAGTGGAAACTCACTTTTATAGTTTAAACAGGATACGTGAAATGCAAAAAATAAATACTGAAAATAAAAGCAAATTTTTAAAACGTTAAAACGTTTTGTTTTTTTTATATTAAATGTGTTTATTTTACCTTTTGATAAGAGTAATGAAAAATTATTTAAATTAATGTAACAGTTAAATTTTTTTTACTTTTTACTTTTATTAAAACTCCATCGCAGATTTAAAAAGCAAAATAATAAAACGATTTAACGTGTCTTTTCTGCAACATTACCATATATGTATATATAATTATTCTTAAATACAATTTATTGTAACTTTGATATCAAAGTTATTATTATTTTGATATCAATCGTATATCAATGATATACGATTTTATATATTGTTTACGTTGCTCCCCCTCTGCTATATAAGGCGCAGAATTACCGATAAAAGTACCTTTTTTGAGCATCGTAGAAGTGTACTTGAGCATCATTATTTTTCAATAAAATTTGGCAGGTGGTGAGAAAATAGATATACCTACAATCGCATATAGTTTTAAAAGTCAGCACTACATTCCTTCGATAGTAATTTAATCAACGAACAACAACATAGTTTTTGACACCAATAAACTTGATATAAACGTTAAGATGATACAGAATTCTAAAAAGTTATAATACAAAAAACATTTTTACCACACTCACTCTAAACGGACTTCAAAAAACGTGGATCAGTTTTTTAGCACAAGTTTCGGTTCCGTAAAACGTATTTTCCGCGTACCTAATATTGTATATATATGAATAAATTAGTAAAAAAAACACTTATCTAATTTGAGTTTCTACTGTCAGTTCCTCTTTCAGCAGGATCATCAAAAAAACTATCCTTCTTGATGATCCTGCTAATGATGGGCTAATGATGATAATCTTGCTAAAGAAGAAACTGTCAGTAAAACCTCAACTTAAAAAAGTTTTTTTTTTTTCACTAATATATTACTCTGTTCTTTAAGAACATTGAACAGTCTTTTTACAATATATAACTAATGCTAATATATATATATATATATATATATATATATATATATATATATATATATATATATATATATATATATATATATATATATATATATATATATATATATATATATATATATATATATATATATATATATATATATATATATATATATATATATATATATATACATATATATATATATATCAGGGGCGGATCCAGCATTTTTTGGTGTTTGAGATAGCTAACTTCCAGACATGGAGCAAACTCCAAACATTTATACGTTTATACTTATATCAAATAAGGATGGTTTGCAAAAAATTGCGATGATTGGAGACTGGGAACAAAAAAGCCCCAAAATTTGAGACGCACCCGCCCCAAACGTGAGAGCAACAAGTTGATAAAATATTTTTTGTACTATTCTCAACAAGACTTATATTTATTTAAAGATTTTAAATTTCATTGTAAAATATTTCAGCGTTCAAAAATTATGACCATATAAAAATTGTAACCCCCTCGAATTGAGGGGGATTCAAACTTTACATGGTCATAATTTTTGAACGCTGAAATATTTTACAACGAAATTTAAAATCTATTGATAAATATAAGCCTTGTTGAGAATACTACAAAAAATATTTTATCAACTTGTTGCTCTCACGTTTGGGGTGGGTACGTCTCAAATTTTGGGGCTTTTTTGTTCCCAGTCTCCAATCATCGCAACTTTTTGCAAACCATCCTTATTTGATATAAGTATAAACATTTAAATGTTTGGAGTTTGCTCCATGTCTGGAAGTTAGCTATCTTAAACACCAAAAAATGGTGGATCCGCCTCTGTATATATATATATATATATATATATATATATATATATATATATATATATATATATATATATATATATATATATATATATATATATATATATATATATATATATATATATATATATATATATATATATAAGAAGAAGAAGAAGAAGAAGAAGAAGAAGTATTTTTCACATTTATTCAAATAACTAAAAAAAGTTATAGAAAAAGAAATGCCTGATAGTTGCTGTGTAGTAGGATGTGTAAATAGAAGAAGTAATGAAAGTTTGTTCAGTTTTTACCGCATTCCAAGTGGTCATTCACCAAATGAAGTTAAAAGACGACAGCTTTGGTTGAATGCTCTTCATCGCAAAAACTGGCCTGATAAAATGATAAAAAATGCTCGTGTATGCAGCAAACACTTTGTTTCAGGTCTTTTTTTAGTTCTGATTTGTTTGCTTTTTAATCAACATAATTTACATTTAAATCTATAAAATATGAGTACAGTGATAAAAATACTGCATACAGTATTAATACAAAATTAATTATACAAATAACAGTAGTAAGAGTGTTTACTAGTTCCTCTTTATTTAATTGTTTGTAATTATTATTTCTTGAACCTATTTATTGTAACAAAATCATCTTCATTTAATATTATTTATAGGTAAACGGTCTGATGAACCTAGTCACCCAGATTATGTTCCTTCGGTTTTATGTACAAATCCAACAGTTTAAATCATAGACGATTAGAGCGATATCAAAGATACCGATTACGAGAAAAGAAACAAGAATCATTTTTTGGAAATAATATTGTTACTGAACAAATAGAAAATGCTGAAAATGAAAAGTGCTCTGTATTTTTTGAAAATGAAGAGTTTTCTGAAAATAATACTGAAGAACAATCTGTATTGTTTAAAAGTGTAGGTATCCAATGTGATTTGAGCATAGAAGAATTATTGAAAGAAGAAAATCAAAGATTAGACATGGAATTACGCGATAGAAACATGGAAATTTATCTTTTGCGACAAGAAAATGAAAAACTTAAAAAAAGGGATTCATCTTTCAGTATTGAAAACTTTAAAGAAAACAATGCTCATTTAAATTTTTTTACAGGGCTACCAAATATGGCAACATTTCTATGGATTCTTTCTTTATTGACAAGAACAGATGATGTAAAACTTTGTTCATCTCGTTTATCAAAAGAAAACCATTTGTTAATAATACTTATGAAGTTGCGACTTGGGCTCCTAAATAAAGATATTGCTTTTCGTTTTAGTGTCTGTGAAAGTGTAATATCCAGAGTTTTGAGAAATTGGCTGCCAAACCTAGCAACTTATTTACAACCGTTAATAAAATGGCCTAATAAATGTGTAATAAGAAGTAACCTGCCAGAGTGTTTTAAAAAGAAATTTAGAGACTGTGTGTGTATAATTGACTGCTATGAGATTTTTATTGAGAGACCATCAAATCTAACAACTCGAGCTCAATCATGGTCAAATTACAAACACAACAATACAATTAAACATTTAATAGGAATCAGTCCAACAGGTGCAATTACTTTCTTGTCTGGTGGTTGGGGAGGCAGAGTTTCAGACAAAGAGCTAACAAATCAATCGGGCTTTCTCAAATATATATATTTTGGAGATTGCATTTTAGCAGATAGGGGATTCCTAATTAAAGATGAGCTTGCAAAGAAAGGAGCAAACCTTTACATTCCAGCATTTTTAAAAGGAAAACAACAGTTAAGTCCGCAAGAAGTTGGAACTTCAAGACAACTGTCAAATGTAAGAATACATGTTGAACGCATTATTGGCAGAGTAAAACAATTTAGAATTTTACAAACCACTGTTCCAATTAAACAAATAGATCTTTTAGATGATATAATGGTCGTGATATCAGCCCTTGTTAATTTAAAGAAAAGTATTATCAAGTAACGCTATAATACTTGTTAATGTTATAAATCATATTAAAATACAATTAAACCATACCTTGCTGTTTTCTATATTTAAGTTTTACTCAAGAATATTTGTAAAAAATATACTATAACATATAAATATAATTTATGGGTAACCAATAATCAAATAGTGCATACTGTTTGATAATGTAATAAATAACATTGAATTTGTCTAGTTTGTTATATTACCATTTCTAGTAAAAATATAATACATTACTATAACATAATCATTTGTTATCACTAAAAGGTATTGTTAATAAAAAATACTGTAATTAATCCCTACATTGAGGACAGAACCAGGAGCCTTTGGGTTTCCTTGTAACATTTACACATGAGTAATGAAACCATTTTTTGGCACATTCTATATTACTGCATGGAAGCATAAGTCCAAATTCAGGTTTCATGCAAAAAAAATATTGCTTTCGATGTTGAAAGCTTACATCCCTTTTTCTGCTGACAATTTCTAGCAAAATAACATTAAAAAAATACTTAGTCAAAATATCAACAACTACTTCAAGAAATGCATCATCACGCTGTACAGTGCATTGTAAATAATTGTTCTGCTTAACTGGGGACCACATAAAAAACTCACCAAAGGTAACTTTGCAAACAAACATTTGTAACTGCATTTGGAAAAAATAAGGATGATTTGATTAACAGACCATCACTGTTAAGAGGAAATTTCTCATCACTTTGCCAGTTAATAAAACCATTTTTATAATTAAATGGACACTTTATCTCTAAAATACCTTTTCCATGGCAAGAACAAGTAAATATTTCATCAGGAGTTGCTCCTAAAAAAGGTAGATCAACCATAACATGAAAACCAGAGTCAACAAACACAAAATTGTTATGCTTCTTTAACTGGATTTCACAAAAAGTATTTTTAGCAAAACATTCCATTTTTTTACCATATTGTGTGAATTTGGTCTTAAATTCTTTTTTATATTGCATGATTTCTTGTATGAGAGATTCACTCAAAACATCTTTATTTGTGTGAAATACATTAAAACATATTGAAGCTGTAATTCTTCCTGCACGATGAACCTGCCAAGCTGATGACTGATTTTGCTGATATGTTACTTTCGCAAGTTGATCATATTGTTTTTCAAAATATGTTTGGCTAAAGTCTTTATATAGTTGCTTGGAATGTTTTAAAAGCTGGAATTCAGTTGAATTATTGCAAGTAGGATCAAACAAACTAGTTATAGGTTCTGGTAAACAACTTGTCTCATCTTCTGAACCTGACTCAGTATCACTTGATTTCTGATTGCTATTACAATCTAAGCTAGTAAATATAACAGCTTTAGGATTGGATTCACGTAAATTGTTAAAGTCGCTTACTGATATGCAATGTGATGGATCAATATACGAGTAGTTTCCATTTACTTTAAACATGGTTGATGCTCTTATGCTTTTTATTTTTTTTTTATGAACAAGATTATTAAATGAGGGTAACTCTCCCCTTTTTTTATTTGTGCTAAAATTCATTGCGCTTAATGGTGTTGCATTGACACTGCGTTTTGAGGTATTCCATAAACAAAGCTGACTTGTAGATGCATCCTCTCTATTTAATCGGTGGTGCACAGCAGCCTCAAGTTTAAAAAATAGAGCTGCAATATGTGAACAGACTGAACCTAGTCCTACTAGACAAGTGCAGCGGGCTCTTTTAATCCACCCGTCTTTGTGAAGACAAATCCATACGTCATACATGCAACTCTTTATGCTAACTCTCTGGCTTGGAAGAACCTAAATAAAGATCACTAAAATAAAAAAATATTGATCGTGAACAAAAATTGTCTAATGTTACTTATATCTTAATATTATTAGCCTAATAATAACTGAATTGTATGCTCCTTATAATTAGGAGCATACAAATCAGTTTAGAAATCAATGTCTATAATATATAACCTTAGTTTTTATAAAACAATAAACTTCATTGATACTTGGAGCATACAAACAATCTTGCACGTGGGCACACAAAAAATATGTTTTATATGCTTCCAATGACTTGTATGCCTTAGTATTTTCTTTTGTAAACTCACTAGGAGTGTCGATGAGAAAAGTTATCACGTCTCTCCAAGTAATGTCAGGCAACTTTGTAATGTCTTTCTGCCAAACACTTTCATTAAAATTTTCCGGATTTAACTCAATCACGCTAACAATATTCATTATTTATTTAATGATAAATATGATTTTAATATTTTAAATGTTGTGTTGTAATGTAGTAATGTTGACAATAGTTAAAACGATATTTAAAATTGTTTTGCCTGCCAGTATGCGCACGCATATTGTTTACATTTTGCTTTATACATCACATGAAATTGGTCTATTGGTAAACTTGACTACTTAGTTCCTTATTCCTATTTAAAAATAAAAAATCATCTGCATCTGCTGACTTTTTTTTTTTTTTTTGTAGAGCCGGAGACAGTTGCTTTTTAAAAATAGCTTCGTTTTTTGAAGCTTTAAAATTAAAATAAATTTTTTTTTTTTTTGCGTATCAAATTTTGGCACATATTATCGAACTCATCAAAACTAGGCAAATTAAAATCAATTGGCAATATAAAGCTCATTAAACTAAACAATGCTTTTGACTTAAAAACTGACATTAAAATTGAAATTACATTGTTAGTCATTTTGTCAATGCTAATTAATCGCTTAACGAATGGAAAGTTACACTCATTTTCCCAACTATCATCCCATTCAATCCATAGTTTTAAAATTTCCCTTTCAGTAGAATACATAATGATAAATAAATCTCGTAATAAAAATATAACACAAACAATGCAAATAAAATAATATTTATTGACAAATAAATGAACAAGATATAATAGGATTAAAAAACTTATCTGATGTTCGTTGATTACCCACGAGAAAAAAAAACTGCTTTTTTACTTCAAAATTTGTCTCGCCAAAAAAGTTGTTTTCATTAAATTCATTAAATATTTGCTTGGGACGTATAGTACTTAAGGTCACGTGATTGTTTTAAAATGTAAACAAAGTTTTATGCATAAAACTAGAAAAATTTGTTTCTAAACTAGCCAAGTTTGAAAACATATTTCATAGCATAGCTAGAGGTGCAGAAAACGATTTTTTGATTTTTACATTGCAGAAAGGGTTGAAATTTCAATAATTTGGTGCGGATTACAAAAATAATACGATTTTCATAATCTAATAATAAAATTAAAAATATAAATGCGTTAAAAAATAATGAAAAAAAAAAAAAAAAAAATTAGCAATCCGCACCGACACTTAGATAGAATAGACATTTATTAATAAATGTTCCAAATTTCAACAATTAGGCATGTCGCTATGTTATGAAATCTTACTGGTTTTCCGTAAAAATCACAAAAAACAGAAAAGTGATCCCAAATCGTTAGCAATATTTAAACAATAAATATTTTTATTTTGTTTAATGTAAATATTTATTTAAAAAAAGATAGATATTTTATATTTTTTTTATTTGAAGATAAAAGCGCTTATAAGAAAAAAACACTATTATTTTAAAGTTATTGTATTTTTAAACTTTTTTTGCGGAAATTTTTTTTGATAAACACAAAAAAAACTGTGACGTCAAGCTCGTTTTTATATTGAGTGAAACAGCCGTGCCCAGTGCGAGTGGTTAACTCGTAAAGTTTATGAAGCAAAAAGCCATAATTCGATTCTTACCACTTTATTATTACTTTTTTAAATCTTTTTTGATTTTTTAAAATACAAAATAAAATACTTCTAAAGGTTTTAAAGGTTGTAGCACAGTGGGCCAGAGCATAACAAAAATTAGCAAAAATAGATAACGTCTAAATTTAATCATATTATACATCTACTCATATATTTTTAGGGTCAGAAAATCCATTTCTGACATCAATATTAGTTTTGAACTACTTTGAACTGAGCTTGGGAACAAAAATAGCCAAAAAAGGTATTCCTCTTGCCCCAAAATTTAGGGCATTGATTTAAATTTTGTTATAATTTCATGCTAAATTTAACTAAATTAGCAGGTTTTAAATTTTATGGAATAATCTTTCTAAGGTAAAAAGTTATGACCATATAAAGTTTACAACTTTCGGGAGAATTTAAAATATATTTAGTCATAACTTTCAAAATCTAAAATAATATACAAAGTAAAATAAAACTACATAATAACAACAAATTACTTTTACGTGTAAAAGTAACTAATTAGCAGAAACAGCTTACATAAAAGTAATTTGAAAAAAAATTGTAATTTACAATCACAAATAAAAGTAAATTTTTCCTTTGGAATTTTGTATTTTACTTTGTAAGTAAGTAAAATGTAAGTTATATTTTTTACTTTCGCAAAGAATAGTCACTTCTTGTTGATTTAACATAAATTTTGAGATAGGTAGGGTAATACTTCAGGTAATACTCTGATATATGTGCACAGTGTTTGTGGTGGGGCAGTGGAAAAGGATTTTTTTTTCACGTAATTCTTTTTTTATTATTATAGTTGTAGCCGTAAATTTACATAGAATGTACACATACAGCGAGCAGGGAAAACACCCCACTATAAACAACCAGTTTTATAAATATTTGTTCCGAACTTATGCCACAACCAGGAGTCTAGTCTATTTTTGAAGGAAAGTACAGTGGAGTACAAAGTTATTTGCTCTGGAAGTTCGTTCCAGTATTTTGCTGATCTATTATACAAATGATTATATCTTGGAAGACAGTTTGTAACATACTCACGCCTTATTTTAGAATGGTGACCACGAGACATGGAGTTAATATATTTTGGTAGATATTTATTATTAACTATATCAAAACGATGTATTAATTTAAAAATTTGGATTAAATTGCATCGAAGGCGTCGAAACTCAAGTGATGGTAGATTTAATCTTTTTAGCCTTTCGCAGTATTGAAGATGCCTCAAGCTGTAAGACCATTTTGTTGCTTTGCGTTGAACAGATTCAACCAAAGCCATATCAGCTTTTAAATAAGGAGCCCAAATGGACACTCCATATTCAAGATGTGGTCTTATAAATACTTTATATAATTTGAAAGCCATTTTTTCATCAATGAAAGTGAATGTCTTTTTCAGCATACCAAGAATTTGTGAGGACTTAGAGACAACTGTTTAACAATGAGCACTCCACTTGAGGTTAGATGTAAAAATGACTCCTAAATCACGTTCTTTAGTAGAGCTTCTTAGACATTAATTGATTCCTTGGTTATTTTGCAGAAAGTAATTTTAATGGGGGTTGTTTCGACCGTAATGAATGATGCAGCATTTTGAGGTGTTTAACTTAAGTAACCAAGTGTTTGACCACTCGTATACCAAGCGTAGTCGATCCTGCAGATCAACAAAATTAAATTGCGATAAGGTTTTAGAAAAAAGTTTAGTATCATCGGCAAATATCTCAGAAGTTTCAGTGAGTTTTGCAAGATCATTTGTGTAGAGAATGAAGAGGAGCGGGCCGAGAACAGAACCTTGAGGAGCACCACTGAGAACATCAACCCATGCAGAGTTGGTATTCACGTAGTTCTATTATAACTTTTTTTTTTAATTTGTTTGTTTGCCAGAATATGTACAAGATAAATTTACATTGAATATATTACCGACAGGACTTCTAGAAGATAGCTTTCCGGCTTTTTCAATAAAATATGGTGATTAACAGTATCAAAAGCTTTTGACAAATCAATAAATATGCCTAGAGTAAATCGAGAATTCTTTAAATTTAACAGTATTGCCGACTCTTTATAAAGAGTCGGCAATACTGTGCGTTACTTGGAGAATAGCATGTTCAGTAGAACTGTTTCTTTGAAAACCAAACTGATTTTTATAAATAAGTTTATTGTCAATAAGATAAGTTTAGAATCTTTTATACATTATTTTCTCTAATATTTTTAAAAAGACTGGTAGAACTGAGATAGGACGATAATTAGTTACGTTTGAAGGATTACCATTGAAGTTTTAAAAATTGGAGTTATTTTTGCTATTTTCAAGCTATCTGGAAAAGATCCTTGAGTAATAGATGCTTTAAAAATTTTAAAGAGGATATCTTTAATCACATCAGAAGGATCGATTATAATGTTCCTATTTATATCATTAGGCCCAGTTGCTTTATTTATTTTTTTATTGCTTTTTATTGCTTCATATGCTATTTTAAATTCACTATATGTTAGATTTGAAATTCAGAGTTGAATTTGTTAATGAAATAAATTCTTTCAAAAAGGTATTATCTACATAAGTAATTTTAATTAATAGGCTTTTATCTATTGTTGAAAAAAACTTGTTAACTTCTGCAGCAATTTCATTTGAATTGTTTACCATATTATTTTTAATTTTTAGTGCAGCCGGTGCACCGGCTACAATAAAAATTAAAAATTAAAAATTACAAACCATATTAAAATCGCTATAATTTATGAAAAGGTGCACAATGCCTTATCCAGCGCAACTGACTCTAGTCATTCATGTAGCCCATCACAAATGAAATTGAAATTTTTATTAAAAAAATCAATCCACTAATATTCTTCAGCATGGTCCCTCAAGCTTGCATGCTTGGATATGGTGCTTTGAATGCTTTTTCCATGTTGTTTATAAAACAAAAATTAAATCTTAGCAAGCAAGATTTTTTGGAGTCAAGAATTCAGTAATGGAACAAAATAGTTTAATTCTGAAAAAGTTCTTGGATTGATAGTAGATCAACCAAGAGCAGGTGATAGTGAGAACTTTAAAAAAAGCTACTTAGCCAGAATAGCTTTTAGTGAAATTACAGGAAGTGATAAAGTGCTAAATGAAAGATTGAATTTTCAGTGATTGTGAATTAGACATTTCGGGATTATAGTTTTGAAACTGCCAGATATTTTGTTAAAAGTTAGTCCTGGTACTACATAACAAAAAAGGAGAGAAAAACTTCCTTTTCTTTTTTTTTATTTAGTTTTAATGTTGTTTTTTTATATTGTATATGTTTTCTTTTATGTTGTTATGTTTTTTTTTATGTTGTCCTGATATATAAATGAGTATTTCTAAAATTAGGTGCATTTTGCCTGTACAATAATTTCAAACATATAGTTAGAAAGTTTTGTGTCATAAAAATTATGGTCTTATGTTCTGAAACAGCTACTTATACAAATTTTAAATATTTTGAAAAGTTTCATCTTTCTTAAATTTAATGGTCTAAGGTTTCTGAAGTTGAAAGTGGCTTAGGGTTTTAGATTTTACGTGTCCTCGGTGTTAATAGTGCTATGTTTCGCATAGATTTTCAATAAAATCTGACATTTAAATGTGCCTAAGTCACCAAAATTAATGCTGAACTCTTGAATTAACAATATTAAAATGTCTGATTTGATTATTTTAGTTATATTATAAGGTTACGTGTTTACTAAATAAAAGTCCTCCACTTTACTGTCATGTATGTAACAATAACAATTCATTGACAAAATAATAAATCCCTTGGGTAGTTACCGTAAAAAAATGCTTTATTTCATTTTAAAGTATTTGCGCATTATTAGGAATCTATATATGAGCGGTAATTAAGCCAAATTTTATCGCGTTGTCATTTTAAATACAATAGCGTTACGTATTTGACAAACATGTTAAATAAATGAACGTTTATGTAAAAAACCAGTTTATTAGTTGGATAATTAAGAATTTTCATATCAGAAATTTTTATTTTAAACCATAAGTATAGTTATTATTTTAAACCATAAATGTTTTTCTATTTTAAACCATCATTTAATAGTTCTATTTTGCTGCTAAGCTATCGATATTAAAGAACTGATATTATTTTTGTTTCTACCAGAGCTCTGAATTACAATTATAGCAAAGAAGACAGAATCAAACTAGGAAAGGCAATCGAAATTCAGAGCCAAAATATGAAATAACCCTGCGAAGTTCGAAGATTATAAGAAGAAGGAACGAGAGCGTCAAATGCAAAGAAGA